CACCTACATCGTCCACAAGGGACGACTCGGGAACTCAACTCCTACCTCGGGCAGCTCACCTTTCCCCCTATGCCCAGGGGAAAGGTATCAAGCCGTTTGACAGCTGATGCAGGCTGTCAAAACGGCTTTTACGCAGAAACAGGCGGGAGCAGCAAACAGCTGCGTCCAGCGAAGGCGCCTGCCACCGGAAGTCCCCCAATAACCGTGTTATTAACTTAATAGCTGCAGTGATTCACTTAACAACTGTGGCAAGAACGGTTGTAAAATGGGGCAAAACTCACTTAACAACTGTCTTGCTTAGCCATAGAAACTTTGAGCTCAATTGTGGTTGTACGTCGAGGACTACCTATACTCTGGTTTCCCCCCCCCCATGACAAATGTTCAGACGATTGTCCTCAAGGATATATTCTGTATATCATTAAGTCTGATGTTTGTTTACCAGGCTGTGTTTGCTTATGCTGCCCTATATAGATTATTCTGTTTGTTCTTCGTTTAAACCACGCCTTTAATTTGCCCTCTGGGACGCCCTTGTGTTCAGATCACAATTTTTTGGTCAGGCTAAAGATTCAGTAAAGGGAAGTAAATGTTCGCAATGGCACAGAAATATTCCGTGGTTCATGACTGCTTCTGCTTTGTTTCTTATTTTTTATTTGGCACCACTCCTCTGCCAGCACGGTTAAATAATTCTGGGCAGCTTGCGCATGTAAAACAATCATAAGAGCATTAAAACAATAGGCATAATCAAAGAAAACCCCGCTTGTTGTTGATATTCCCAACAGGTGAAGATCTGAAACCCGTGGCTGGTGTTTTGCCTGTTTTGATGCCAGCATATCACTGCCCAGCCTTATGGAATACGTTGCACCTCCTATAAAGGTGCATTACCATTTAGGAGAGAAATAACAACCACAATCCAAAAGGATTGTCATCATTTCTCTTCTAAATTTTAACAAGGAGGGAGCCATCTTTGCACGGGGGAGTGCAACGTATTCCATAAGGCTGAACAGTGACATGTTGGTGAGGAAGGGGGTCAAAACAGTAGATAGCAGTCATGGCCTTCATAGTTTGATTGTCCCCAGAACAGCTGAGTAGAGTAGAGTAGAGTAGAGTAGAGTAGAGTAGAGTAGAGTAGAGTAGAGTAGAGTAGAGTAGAGTAAACAGAGTTGGAACGGACCTTGGAGGTCATCTAGTCCAACCCCCTGTTTGGAAACCCTATACCAGTGGTGGCGAACCTATGGCACGGGTGCTAGAGGCGGCACTCAGAGCCCTCTCTGTGGGCACACGTGCCGTTGCCCCAGCCTTGCCTCCCCCTGCGACCCCCTCCTCTCCAGCAGCCCCCCTGAAGGAGACTCGCCCTCGAGCGTGGCCCACACGGAGCAGCGCAGCCAAGGACATGGCAGCCAGGCAGCGTAGACAAGACACCCCATCATGCAGTTGATGCTGCAGGGCGCAGGCAGAGGCCGTGGCCGCCATAGCGCTGCTGGGCTGCCTGCGGCGGGCCCTGGAGGTGGTCCTGTGGGCAGGCGGGGTGGGGGGTGGAGGGGCAGAGCAGGGGCGGGCAGGGGGGTGGAGTGGGGGCGGGGCCAGTTTTTGGGCACTCTGTCTCTAAAAGGTTCGCCATCACTGCCCTATACCATTTCAGACAAATGATTGTCCAGTCTCTTCTTTAAAACCTCCAGTGTTGGAGCATTTACAACTTCTGGAGGCAGGTTGTTCCACCGATTAATTGTTCTAACAGTCAGGAAATTGCTCCTTAGTTCTAGGTTGCTTCTCTCCTTGACTAGTTTCCATCCGTTGCTTCTCGTCCTGCCTTCAGGTGCTTTGGAGAATAGCTTGGCTCCCTCTTCTTTGTGGCAGCCCCTGAGATACTGGAACACTGCTATCATGTCACTATAGTCCTTCTCTTCATTAAACTAGACATACCCAATTCCAGCAACCGTTCTTGATATGTTTTAGCCTCCAGTCCCCTAATCATTTTTGCTGCTCTTCTCTGCACTTCTCAACGTCTTTTTTACATCGTGGCGACTAAAACAGACAGCCAGGACTCTGGATCCTGGTCAGACTGATACAAGAAGGACTGCTAAAGTGGGGTGGCACATTTTTTCTCTCTTCAGGCGCCTTTGGTAAAGAGAATTATGTGGAAAACACTGCTGAGGATAGAGCTGGGAGCAGCAGGGAACCAGGCCCCTTGCGTGCTCCCCTTCCTTCTTCCCGGACTCCGATATGGGTCCTCTTCGGCTATTGATCAGCACCATGAACTGGCCAGGGAGCGATCTAAGACAGTTACCTCTTTCTACAATCAATCTGCCATTGATGCAGCCGCTGAAAAGGTGAGTGGAAATCAATACAGTTAAATTTATTGTTTTGACCACAGGTCATAACACAAGAATGCCATATCATACAGCAAAAGAACAATGAGACAATGAAATTATAAGAGAGAGTAATAGACATTCAGGTAATCCTCGACTTAACGATCATAATCGTAAGAGCCGTGGTGGCGCTGTGGTTGGAATGCAGTACTGCAGGCTACTTCTGCTGACTGCCGGCTGCCAGCAGTTCGATTCTCACCAGCTCACGGTTGACTCAGCCTTCCATCCTTCCGAGGTCAGTAAAATGAAGACCCAGATTGTTGGAGGGGCAATAGGTTGACTCTGTAAACCAGAGCTTTTCAACCTTTTCACCCATTGTACCACTTTTAGGATATGGCAACATCCGAGTACCACCAGTTGCCTAGCAAGGTGTCAAAAACTTGATGACCAAAAAATATATATAAATAAGTGATAAAGTACAGGTAGTCCTCGACTTACAACAGTTCGCTTAGTGACTGTTCGAGGTTACAATGGCACTGAAAAAAGTGCCCCCCAAGCCACAGCCAAACAAGACACCTGCCTGCCCACCCGGCGGCACTCTTCCTCCTGTCCGAGGTTTTCATTGTTGTGAGCATTTCTGTTGAGGATTGGCAGTGGGGGTGGGGGGGTGTTTGGTTTTTATTCCCCCCCCCCCCCGTCTGCTGGTTGGTTGCAGCAGGTTTTGGTCACTTCACAAGACCCTGGGACACTGTGTCCGTCATAAATATGAATCAGTTGCCAGGCATCTGAATGTAAATCACAAGACCCTGGAGATGCTGCAACATTCCAGCTGATCGGCGCTTCTTCTGGGCTCAGCAGAAGCACCAGGATCAGTGGTGAGCTCCAGCTGAAGCCTGGCGCTGATCCTGGCGCTTCCACTGAGCCCTGACAACCCCGAAGAAGCACTGATCCTGGCGCTTCTGCTGAGCCCTGACAGCCCTGCAGCTCCAGCCATCTCTTGCTCAGGCTTGTGCGGTGCTGCCATCGATTCAGCTCATTCCCCTCCCCCGCTACCACTTTTCTAGGATGGTTGTGTACCAACTGCCAGGTGCCAATGTACCACAGGTGGTACCCGTACCACTGGTTGAAAAGCCCTGCTGTAAACCACTTAGAGAGGGCTGTAAAGCACTGTGGAGAGGTAGATAAGTCTAAGTGCTCTTGCTATAATGGAGCCTGCCCGTTTGGGCTTGTCAGTCATAAGCTGGGTCACCACGTGAGTGGATGCATTTTCACAACCTTTTTTTTTTTATTTGCTGCATTTGTTAAGTGAATCCATTGTTCACTGGGCTGCTTTTGCCCAAAACTGAAAGTAAATGCTTTTTTTCCACGGTCATGTGACTACGGGACACTGGAAATGCATAAATGTGGACTGGTTGCAGAGCACCCGAAACGCAGTTCTGTAGCCATTGGAATTTCAGAACCAGGTTATAAGGTGGTCTGTCATAATTTCAAATGGTCGCTAAACAACCGGTCGTAGCTTGAGGATTACCTGTATTAGATGTAAAAAGGTTGCAACCAAATAAAGCCCAGCTACAATTAAGGACTTAAGTATTTCTTCCTAAGTTTAAATGACAGCAGAACCAAGGCAGTAATTGGTAGCTGATAGCTGGAAACACATCTGCAAGAACAGGGATGGGTAACTATGGCGACTTTACAACCTGTGGACTTCAAGTCCCAGAATTCCTGAGCCAGCCATGTATGGCTGAGTCTAGATTTCTGGGAATTGAAGTCCACGGGTCATGAAGTTGTCATAATTGCCCACCCCTACGCAAGACGTTAGTCAGAGCCCTTGAATTCATCGGCCATTCATGATTTGGCCCTGATGTCATTGTGAACGGGTCAGTGAAGGCCATAACGTAGAATATCCTCCACTTGGCCACTAATCGCAAGGACAGGGGCATTGTTCAACAGGGAGCTTGCAAAAATCTCCCTTCAAGATATGTGGAGGGTGTGGCCTGCAGGTGAATGGGCATTAAAGTCCTTCAAAAGGTGACTTGAGAATAGATATTGCAACCGAGTCCCCATTCATAGCTCAGACGAAACCCAATAAAGCATGGGGTCTTCAAACTTGGCCCTTTTACGACTTATGGACTTCAACTCCCAGAATTCCTCAGCCAAGTACGCTGGCTGAGGGATTCTGGGAGTTGAAGTCCACAAGTCGTAAAAGGGCCAAGTTTGAAGACCCTTGCAATAAAGCATAGGCGAAGGGGCAGCCATTCCTGTTTCTCCAGCGCCTTCCAATAAAACCTCTGCCTTGAGACTGGAGCAGAACTAGCTCGGGCACCCTGACAGCAGGAACATGGTTATCCCAGGATTAAAATAAAAGGACAGGTTGGAGCAGGCATGTTACATTCCTGGAGGGTGCCTGACCTAGTTGGCCACTGATCTGTTGGTTTTGGCATAGTTAATGCCCTTTCGGTGTTCATGGCAAGGAGGTTGGGTGGAGTTAGACTTAGACTTCATTTCCTTGGAAGACGGCCAATAAGCTTTGAATGCCGCAGACAGAAAGTCTTTGAGCTCTTATTTTGCTCGCTCCCAGCTGAAACGATTCCCCCAGCACAGCACAGCGTTTCTCGACCGTGGCACTTCAATTCCCAGAATGCCCCAAATCACATGCAATCAACAACCGGCAACCACTTTCTCGGTATTGCAGATTATATTCGTTTATCGAAATATGAAATACAAAGAAAAATGAAAATAATGGGAGAGTAGGGGAGGAAAAAGGAAAGAGGAAAAACATAGCGTAAAAGGGGGAAGGAAAAAAAACCACTCCTTTTATAGTGCAGAAGAATAAAGTAATAACATACGGCCTCAGCTTTTTACTTTTACATAGTGATAGATAACTAGCCATTTCTATAACAACAGATCTGTCTAATCAGTAAAACCCAAAATCAAAGTTTCAGGGTTTTTTTCCACCTCAAGAACAAAGTCCAGAAGTGGTTTCCAAGTAAAACATAAAGTTAGGTGTCCTCTTTTCCTTGATTAAAGTAGTCAATTCAGCCATCTCTGCTAACTTCATCAGCTTTTGCAGCCAGTCATCCATTGTGGGGGCCACACATCTTAAAGTTGCCAAGGTTGAGAAACATTGCTCTAGTAGTGAATCCGAGTGGACTCCTTATTCACATTTTCCCTGTTTCCTGAGCTTGATGCATGCTTTTGTAAACCATCATCCCCGCATGGTTTTTCCAAGGTCATCTATCTCTGTGGTTCTCTAAGCCAGGGCTTTTCAAGCAGTGGTACGGGTACCACCTGTGGTACATTGGCACCTGGTAGGTGGTACGCGACCATCCTAGAAAAGTGGTAGCGGGGGAGGGGAATGAGCTGAACCGGTGACAGCACCGCACAAGCCTGAGCGAGAGATGGCTGGAGCTGCAGGGCTGTCAGGGCTCAGCGGAAGCGCCAGGATCAGCGCTTCTTCAGGACTGTCAGGGCTCAGTGGAAGCGCCAGGATCAGAGCCAGGCTCCAGCTGGAGCTCGGCGCTGATCCTGGTGCTTCTGCTGAGCCCAGAAGAAGCGCCGATCAGCTGGAATGTTGCAGCCTCTCCAGGGTCTTGTGATTTACATTCAGATGCTTGGCAACTGATTCATATTTATGACGGTCACAGTGTCCCAGGGTCATGTGAAGTGACCAAAACCTGCTACAACCACCTGGCAGACAGGGGGAATAAAACCCAAACACCCCCCACCCCACCCCCGCTGCCAATCCTCAACAGAAATGCTCACAACAATGAAAGCCTCAGACGGGAGGAAGAGGGCCGCCGGGCAGGCGGGCAGGTGTCTTGCTTGGCTGTGGCTTGTGGGGCACTTTTTTCAGTGCCATTGTAACGTCAAACAGTCATTAAGCGAACTGTTGTAAGTCAAGGACTACCTGTACTTTATCACTTTTTTTCCTTTTTTGGGGGGGTTATCAAGTTTTTGACACCTTGCTAGGCGACTGGTGGTACTCAGATATTGCCATATCCTAAAAGTGGTACAATGGGTGAAAAGGTTGAAAAGCCCTGCTCTACGTCTGGTGCTGGGGTAATTTATGGATGGGTGATAAAAATGGGTTGTAGAAGATGAGCAAGGGAGTTGATGGCCATTATAACTGGCTCAGGGTTTAGTTTGTGTCTGGGAAATTTTATTATTTACTTAAAACATTTATATAGCCGTCCATCTTTCAGCCAGCTCTGGGCAGTTCCCAATCAAGATTAAGAAAACGTATAAAATAGTTTTAAAAACTATAAAAACGCTATCATAAAACAGTTAAAAATCACAAAAAAACTGGCCCCAATCCATCTTAACGTACCGTCACGGAATGAATTTGATTTCTAATTCTGCATGCTCAGAAGAGGGTCACCCTCAAAACGTTTGAGAGCATCGTGAATTTGAGAAAAAGCTTTAAACTACAGCAGGGGTCTCCAAACCTGCCAACCTTTAAGACTTGTGGACTTCAACACCCAGAATTCCTCAGCAAGCCATGCTGGCTAGGAATTCTGGGAATTGAAGTCCACAAGTCTTAAAGAGGCCATGTTTGGAGACCCCTGTACTACAAGGCAGGGTATAATGGGAAAAAAGTTTGTCATGGGACCCTTGATGCTGTGCTTATTGCCTTCCTGGGGGCCTCTAGAGGTTTTGTCAACGTGCTTTCTGTTCTCTTTGCAGCCCTCTGTGAGGTTGACACCCACCACCATGTTGTACTCTGGACGTTCTCAAGATGGCAGCCACCTTTTGGTAGGTGTGAGATTCCCTCCATGTTGTTACTTGCCAATTATCTAGATCTGTTTTTCATCCTTTCCCTCCCGTTTGGAATTATGGGATTTATAGCTGCTTCAGGAGCTGCTGTACATATTGAGAAATCTTGGTTTGTATGCTAACTCTTTAAGTGCAGGAAGTCTCTTTTGGGAGACGGTATCCAAGGGTGTATACCTCATAGGTGTGACCTAGTAAAGCTGCATCATATGACTCTGTTACATATCTAGAACAGGGGTAGGCAACCTTGGCTCTTTTATGACTCGTGGACTTCAACTCCCAGAATTCCTGAGCCAGCTATGCTGGCTGAGGAATTCTGGGAGTTGACGTCCACGAGTCATAAAAGAGCCAAGATTGCCTACCCCTGATCTAGAACAGAAACATTCTCTTTTTCAGGTGACACAATCTAGCACATGGAAAATCTGTTGATAAAGAAGCAGCCCATGCTTCAAAATTTCCTCCCTTACGGCAAGCTTAATTTGTCGTTCTATTTCTTAGGTTTAGAGCTATTTGGCCCATCAAGCATAAATAATTTCCCCCAAAAGATATTCTGAGATGGTTTAAACCAGAGGTGTCCAAGCTTGGCAACTTTTAAGACCTGTGGAACTCAACTCCCAGAATTCCCCAGGCAGCAGGGGGAATCCTGGGAGTTGAAGTCCACAGGTCTTAAAGTTGCCACGGTTGGATACTTCTGGTTTAAACCTATACTGCAGGGGTCTTCAAACTTGGCCCTTTTATGACTTGTGGACTTCTAAATTTATAATAGGAAATTCCAATTCTCTTTCTCTCTCTCTCTCTCTCCCTCTCCCTC